ATGCCGCCCACTCCCACCTCCCGCAGGTGGGAGTGGGCGGCATTATTTTATTTTGAAATAAAACCTCCTAGATACTGTCTAAATATATGTGAATCCATATTCAGGTTTTGGGGGCAAATAACTGCTGGTTATTCAATATTTCAATAAAAAAATAGAAATGCCACAGTGTAAGATTATTATGCACACTGAAACATTTAGCAATTAGGAAATTCATTGTGTGACAGTCTCATCTTACATATTTAGGTCTTCTTCACAATATGATTGAGATTTCATTTCATAAACTGACTCCAGTCAGCTTGGCTATATGGATGCACGGGAGACGTGCACAAATATATAAATTATCTTTAAAACTCCAGAGATACCTCCTGTTCTGAACATTTCTTCTTTTTATTTGCCTTAGATTTGTATGATTTGCAGTTCTGTATCCCTACCCTTAAGCTTAATACTGTTTGCTTATGGCAGAATACATCCTGTCTTCATCGTGTCAGAGCCCTCTATGATTGTGAGGCTGATCATGAAGATGAACTCACTTTCACAGCTGGAGAAATCATTATAGTAGAAGGAAAAGAGGACTCCAACTGGTGGGTAAGTTGTCATTTGATTCTCTATGATTATTACCGGGAATTCCTTACTGGGCACAGAACACAGCCCATAAGACCAACTTCAGGTTTGTGGCAAAGATTCTATGAAGGAACCTATAAGAGTTTTCCTACTAAGTCATTGGGTCTGTTTTTGGCAATGGATAGCATGGCAGGTGTATATCAGGCACCAGCAGGCACTGGAATATTCTGAGTATTTAGCATCTATTTGTAGATGGCATCTAACTTTTCAAGTATTACTTCTCAGTTATGCCTTAGAATAATGATATATTGGGAACATTGTGAGAAAATAAAAATGGTAAATATATTTAGTTGCCTGTCATTATTCAAAATTCTTGGCCTGCTAGAAAAGAAAAGGTACAATGGAGTTCAAGATAAGTATTAAAAGTGTTCTTAAAGGTTAGGTACAGACTCATCCCACCTAATGCATCCCTCTTCCAATATGTGGAAAATGATGGGATCAGAAATACTGATAAGCATGTATATCTTCTTAAGGCGTTTCTAATTATTGTGCACTGTTCATCCTCTCTGTTAAAAGTCTTTCCTTTTGTTTTATTTTTTCAGCATGGCAGGATTGAAGGATACCCCCACAGAAAAGGTGTCTTCCCAGTGTCATTTGTTTATATACTACCTGAATAAGAATACATCTAATTCACTCAAAGTACAATTCACTCTACTGTAACAGGGCCTCCTGCCCTCTCAAAGCACAATCAATAGTTGTAAAGAAACACTTACTGGAGTTAAAATCATTGGTATTGAAATGTCATATAGAGCAGTGGTCTCCAACCTTGGCAACTTTAAGACCTGTGGACTTCAACTCCCAGA